AGTAAGGGTAAGGTAGAAGAATAAGTAGTAGTATTACTTACCTAACCTAACCTTACTTACTACTCTCTCTCTACTAACCTTAACCTTTACTAGAGAGACACTCTCTCTCTCTCTCTCTCTCTCTCTCTCTCTCTCTCGATTTCACCTTTTTCACCTCCATGGAACCTGAGTCCCGAAGCTGGAGCATTCCCAAGAACCCCAACAATCACCCAGCGCTACCAAATCCTCCATTCCATAGGCTCAGGTGCCTATTCTAACATTTACAAAGCAAACTCTCTTTGATTGCTTAATCGTTGCCCTCAAAGAGATACATGGCCAGCAATCTACCATTAGAGATCTTCAAGCTCTGCAAACCCTACATGGGGCACCAGCATTGTCCAACTTATTTGAGTATTTCTGGTCTGATCATGATGGCCCAATTCTTGTTCTTCAGTTTCTGCCCATGGATTTAGCTGGTTTGATCACAGAGGCCAAGAAGGAATGGAATGGAGGAATAAGCGTTTCAGAGATGAAGAGATGGATGATTCAGGTCTTGAAGGGGGTTGAAGCATGTCATGGTTGCTTTATTATGCATAGCGATTTGAAGCCTTTAAATTTGTTGAACTCTTATCCTGGGCCTATAGCATATCCAGGTTTCTCTCTCTCCAGTACTTTGCTCCCAACAGTGCCTTGCTCTCTCTGGCAAACCATCTTTATCCTGTCTCATCCTTATTAATCTGCCTTGCCCTAATAAACTTCACTCTCTTTCATCTCTCCAAATCCTCTCTCTATACATTTTCTCTCTAGCTCTTAAGAATCTCTCTCCCTCTCTGTCTCTCTCTCTCTCTCTCTTTATGCTATTTCCCAAATTCCAAGTCTAAAACTGAAAGCCCATATCTTTATTTCCATCCTCTCTCCTCCCAAAATCTAAAACTCCCACCCCCCACCGTTTTCCTGCAACACTGCCCTCCTTTCTCTCTCTAAAACCAGTCCTCAATGGCTAATAGTGAGAGAAAGCATTGCAAAGAGGAAGAAGGAAAGCCAACAGGCTCACCACAAAGAGCATGCTTCAGCGATATTCTCTCTCTTCTCGAAGACAACGAAGACAAACTTCAACCGATAGGGAGCTCAAATTGGAGAATTTTGGGCAGAGATCAAAGATGGGCTTCAATGGAGAGAGATATGAGAGAGATGGGTTTACAGATCGAGAGTAAGAGTCATAGAGAAACCCTAAATTTTCATTTAGAGTGAGAAATAAGCAAGGATCCAATCCCCACCGTTCATCTTCCATAAACCTACGGTGCGGATTAGGTTTTAAAAGTTAAAAATATTATATATTATAAATATAAATTAATAAATATATAACAATATATATTATCTTAAAAACTGGATTGGATCCAAATCGGATCCACCTATACCCAGATCCAACCTGAATTACTATTCAGATCTAGATTTTGGATCAAGATCTGAATTTTGGATCTAAATCTTGATCCATACCTGGATCCAAATAGGATCCGAATTTCGAGTTTCGGATCCAGATCGGTAAATTCTCAGCCATACTCTGAGTTTGGATGGATAAGTGATGGTTTGGTAATTGATTGATGCTTAATATATTTTCATAGTTTGAATAGATTTAAAAGGGCTTGGAACAATTGTTATGTGCATAAATCGTACACACTGAGAAAACATTGAAATGAATTTTACATACAACCATGCTCTGAAGTATTTAAATATATTTACAAGAGAAAGATTGATGGACACATAAGTACAAATGCTTAGACCGAATGTTTCAAAATGAGGCACTCAATTGGTCTGATGGCATGGCAGTTCATATGCTTTGGACAAAGCATTGGTCAAGCTCCCAAGCTTATGTTATTCATTTCTCTTTGAATGGGTAGTTTATTTATAAGAATGATATCCCATGAGAAGGCAAACTTGAAGAAAACTTTGCTTTCATGGGCTCTGAGGGTATAAGAGGTAGTTTTCAACTCTTCTAATGCCAAATAGATAAAAATACAAGCACCACAGTTTATCAAATAGGGTTCCCAACTTTCAGGCTACCAATTTTCACTTTCCTCTAATATTTTAGGAAGGTCAGCAATAGGGATTTTCCTAGAGAAGGTTATCAAAAGCACCCTAATCGGCAGCTAATTTGTGTGAAAATATTCCTATACCTAACAACATGAGGGAAGTTTTTCATATGAAAATATTCACGAAAATATCTTCACGCGAACCAAATGTGCCCTAAACATGAATGCCACATAAAGCAATAGTCATGAAGTAATATCCTAAAAGAATCAATGCTCCACAATTCTCAAACCCATTCCTAATTAGCATTTTGAGTCCTCGGAACATGCTCAAGACCTAATCATACAAATTCTAAACTGAACATATATTAGAATTAATCAATTGTTTCTTCATTAGCTTTATTCTTTCTTTCAGAACATTCCTCAACAAATTCACCAACTTGTCTGAATTCAACTTAGCAGATCAAGAAAAAAATAGTTGCTTGAATCCAGTTTTTAAAGTTGTGCACAGAGATCTTGATGCAGTTATGGAATGACCTAATTCGGATTTTTTTACGTACTTTAATTAAGGGTTATATTTTGGGGATATTTAATAATATGTGAGTTTAGATCATTAGAATTATTTTGATTTTTATTCTTTTGATAAGAATAGGTAGTACGCAGGGATAATTAGGAGGGCATAAATTTATATTGTGTTTATCTTGTATCAATTGGGTTAAGTTAGTTTGGGATGTAAATAGGATAAGGTCAAAATTATGGGAGTTTTATCTTTATCACAATAGGAAGGCTTTGAGTAAAACGTAGGAGGCTTTACTTTGATAAAAACGTGGCTATCTATTAGCATGTGAAGTTAAGAGAGAAAAATAAGGATGAGGGAAAATAGGGAAGAGAGAAAAAAAAGGGAGTGCGTGGAGGTTTTTTTTCTCTTTTGCTTATCTTATTTTTTAGTCTATTTAAAAGGAGGTTTCCCTTCATTGTAAAGCAGTCTATGAATTGAATACAAATCGATCTCGTGAAAGAGATTGTTTTGGGAGTGGATTCCCTTGCAGACCTTTGAGAGAGGGTATTTTCTCTCAACCTTCCTTCTTTTTATTGTTAATTTTTTGGTTTTATTTTCTCCCTGCATCATTTGGTATCAGAGTATCAATTTGCATCAATTGGTACCAGAGCGGGTTACGAAGGAGGCACCCCTCGAAAGATCCCTTGAAAGATTAGAGTTGTAGTTGTTGACTCAGAAAGTTCAAGCCCTAGTGGAGAAAGTTGAAAAACTCCTGCCTTTAGCTAATAGAGTAGAAGAGCTCACGCACAAGTTTGCTCAGCTTCAGTGTGAATGAAATTTGGAGAGTAATGTTGGAGATCAAGGCAATGAAGGTGAAGGAGGTGACTTTCATCTTGTTCCTATCAAAAACGATATTTCTGAGATCATCGTTCCTATCAAAAATGATATTTCTGAGATCAAGTTTCATGCCCATATCGAAAATCATGTGGAAAATCCTATCTCACAGAAGACGTTGGATCATGTGGAAAATCCTATCTCAGAGAAGGCGTTGGATGTTGAGGACAATGTCAATCACAAGCCCATAAATGATGAAAGGATGGCTAAGTTCGAAATATTTGCATTAATACTTTTTTCTTCAAATTTTGATCCATTCTTTGACGTATCACAACCATTGATATTTTTAGAGCCAAAGGAGAAAAAGGCAAAAGAATGATGCGAGTTTGATGTAGATCTCATCTTAGTCCTCTTCAAAACTCAATGACGAGTTTTCTCCAACCAGAGGACATTGTTGCAGTCATGGAATGACCTAATTTGGATTTTTTTACGTATTTTAATTAAGGGTTATATTTTGGGGATTTTTAATAATTATGTGAGTTTAGATTATTAGGATTATTTTAATCTTTATTCTTTTGATAAGAATAGGGAGTACGCACGGACAATTAGGAGGGCATAAATTTATATTGTGTTTATCTTGTATCCATTGGGTTAGTTAGTTTGGGATGTAAATAGGATAAGGTTAAAATTAGGGGAGTTTTATCTTTCTCACAATAGGAAGGCTTTGAGTAAAACATGGCTTTGGGTAAAACGTGGGAGGCTTTGCTTTGATAAAAACATGGTTATCTATTAGCATGTGAAGTTAAGAGAGAAAAATAGGGATGAGAGAAAATAGGAAAGAGAGAAAAAAAAGGGAGTGCATGGAGGTTTTTTTTTCTCTTTTGCTTATCTTGTTTTTTAGTCTATTTAAAGGGAGGTTTCCCTTTATTGTAAAGCAGTCTATGAATTGAATAAAAATTGGTCTCGTGAAAGATATTGTTTTGGGGGTTGATTCCCTTGCAGACCTTTGAGAGAGGGTATTTTCTCTCAACCTTCCTTCTTTTTATTGTTAATTTTCCGGTTTTATTCTCTCCCTGCATCAGATCATATGGCAGACATACTCAATCCTTAAGGAATGAAGGAAAAAAAATTACAGGGTGAAAATTCTTAGTTAACTCTGAATAATTCTAACCTAGATTTTTGCATGGCATCAATTCAAAGAAAATTCAGCTTGCAAACCTTCCTCCAAAGTACCCGAATTTAAGAAGTAAAATTCTGCACGACAAATTGCCATAATTTTGCCACAATCCTTACAAACTCAAATAAACATAAACACATTTATTAGGGACTTTTTCCATTGCAGAAATTTGCAGGTCTTTTGGTACTATATTTCGGCTACTCAGCGATATGTTTGTTCTAAACCAAGGCTTTCGTATAAGGGTGAGCTTGAGACACCAGGTTTGCAGCGGAAGGTCTGAATTTTCAATCAGCCATGTGAAAACCAAGCTTACCTAGACTTGACATGGAGGATTATCTAGAAGCTGAAAAAGCACATCCTAAGCCTACAAGCCGAAAAGCAAAGCAGTGGTAAAGAACTTTAAATGAAGCTGAAAAAGCACATCCTAAGCCTACAAGCCGAAAAGCACAGCTGTGGTAAAGAACTTTAAATAAAGCTGCAATCTTAATTGGATATGTAGCTGATCACTGATTGCAATCAATCTGAGAGATCAGCCACCTCACAATGTATCTGAGAGAAGTAGAACACTAGGCATGAACACCCAAAAACCTTTACATCTCTGATCAGTAAATTTCATTGCAGAATAAGAAAGAAGTAAAAGAGGTACATCATTTTAATTAAATTTATGGATTTCAGACATCCCAAACACTCAAACCAACCGGAACACCATACTGCAACCTAGGAGTCTATAGGGATGAAACCATACATACTGACCCAACAAACCAAATTCATCAGAAAGCCCTTTTAAAAGTGACTGAAGAAAGAGTGCAGGCAAACTACATCCAACTAAGTATTATTTAGCCTATGCCTCAATGGAATCTGCAGGCCCAAATTGATCCCCAAAAAAGATGGAAAACCAGAAACTTGCCAAGTACTACATTATGTAACAATTTATGGTTCTACAGTACATTGCGAATAGCTTAAGACATTTCATAGAAAGTTCAGAAACTCAGAAAGTCCCTACTTTTCTAGAAATAAGATGATGGATGTTCTTCATACCTATGTTATTAACTTGCAAACTGTCTTTTATCATGCCAAGCTCAATAATATTTGTGGTAAACTAAAAGGAGCAGATCAACCAGATATAACAAAGAAGCATGCCATTACAAAGGACTAACAAATTTACTAGGAGCGAAGAATCATCACAGGGCATTGACAAAGACAGGATGTGAGAACTAGCCTTTCATGGGGCATTCAACAGAAGCTTACCATGTTCCTTATACCATTTTGGTGTCAGTCTCTCCTCATGGGCACCAACACAAGTATGAAATGATGGCAGGCGAGCCGGATCTGCAAATTTCCACACAAAGCACATATTGAAATTATTATTCGGTGGATAGCAGAATACATATGAACCCCCATTGAGAGACGTTTATCAGCTACTTTTGACCGAATATATAAAGAGGATATTTTGTAGCCAGTAAATAACTACCGAACAAATCATTTTGGTAAACACTGCTCACAATGTAAACATTCTCACATAACAGATATGAGGTCATTGTCCCTTCAACTTAGAATTGAACGGTAGAGAGAGACTTGAGACCATAACAAGAATCAAGTATTGACTTTGATGGGCAAATTTCATTCAAGAATTCAAATCATTCCATAAAGTACCAGAAGTGAAAGAAGCAAAACATCAAAACATACATCAGAACAACAATTTAAATGTGGATATTCCTTGCTAGAAACTCCTCTTTTCAATTGACTTTCCCAATGACATGGAAGCTCAAAGATGCCAAGGAGTATACACCTCATAGTGGGCCCATCTACTTGTGCTCACAAGTTGCCTACCAAAGGACCACACCAATAATTTACTAAGAGATGAATGCAAGTCAAGCTAGTCAGGCTGTTATCATCACTGCAATAGCTTTAAACATGTCTAAAGGACCTGCTATTGTGTTAAAGCCATAGAAAAGCCTGCCATCGAAACTGACACACAAGGTGCCTATTCACTTTATGTTCAAGTCAAATCCCCCAGAAATTTGGTAAAAGAGTTCAACTGAAAAGGATCTTCTCTGTTATAGTGGATAGGGGCATGAGGATCAAATTTTAGTAAGAGGAACCACAGATGCACATTTTCCCACTCAACAGAGTAGGTGCTCAAGTCAAAGCCCGAAACGTATCTACCAAACTATAGTTGTTGGAAACACTGAGATTCTAAATCATTTTAGGAATCAAAATCACGGAATCACATCTGGCTAGATGAGTCCTATTTTCAGAAATGAAGTTTGTACAAGGGGAAATGAGATTCCTACTTTATAAGAATCGAGATTCGACCCAAATGAAAACAAGATCCCTACATATATGGAATCCAGATTCCGTCCTCTTTGGAATAGCGTTTCTTACCAATTCGAAATCATCCCATATAAAATTGAGATTCCTTCATATATGGAATCGAGATTCCAATATCTTCGTAATTGAGTTTCTGATTTGATGCTTCTCATAGAATTTGAATTGTTTATTTTGTAGTACATAGCCTTATGTTTGTGTCTCTAATTTGATGGAGAGAGTATCATTATATGTGGAATCCAGATCCAATAAATGTAGAATCAAGATCCAAAAATTGCGGAATGAAGAATCAATAAACATTAGAAACAATATTCTATAAGTGTTGGAATTGAGATTTCTAAAATAAGGAATCGATACTCTTAATTTCACAAAAATGAATTCCTTGAAGATTCCTTGTCGGAATCGCAGAATAAAAATTCCGAATTGGAATCGCGACCTTTGGCAAGAGATTCTTGTAATTATGTACCAAACTTACAAGTAGTGAGGAGAGATGATGAATATCTTCAGCAATCTCACTGCACATGATGTAAATATTGTCCCACTGTCAAGATCTTGTCCAGGCATGCCAATCACTAATAAACCAAGTGGTATAGGAAACTCTCATCCAGAGGACCAGGAACACAAAGGACTCTGTCAATGAGAATGGAAAATAAAATGATCAAACTAGGAAATTTCTCTAACCATCCCAAATCTAAATTCTCCAAAGACACCTATCATGGGGATGGAAAAAACCTCTAACCTACCTATCAAAACTAGAAAACTCCCCAAGCTCCTAATCCTTAGAAGATTCGCAAAAATATGACCACCAGACATCGTTGCTTCCACGTTACCGAAAACATTTTGAAACTCCAGCATTGAAATCCAAAACTCCCAATCCAAATATCCCCTAGATTATTGCCCAAGCACCTACTCCCCATCTTCCACCTGGTAATTAATTTCCCCAATAAACTCCCAACCCACAATCATACTACACCTTGAAGGCCCCACACCTTGTCAGAAATAACCAAGTCTACTCCAAGACCCAAACCATCATACCTAAATTGCCATAACTACTGACCCAAAAGAACCTCGCTAGGTATGTTTGTCCTCGTATCACCTTGCTTTTTAAACTCACAAATACATGTATAATTGGAAATAATGAACTTCCACCTGACCCCCTCTGGACATCTTTCCAAACTCCTCTTGTAAAATGAACTGCACATGACCTAAATGCTAAATATGTGCCATTATTCCACCCAAAGAGAGTGAATTCTTCAAGGTGCCAATATTTGTTCGAAACATTCCATTATTAGGTCTTTTTTATGTTTACTAGTAAACATAAGGCGAAGACCAAGATAGATCCTAGGGAGAGAGTTCCCAAAAATCAACTAGCAAATCAAGTGCTTGAAGTCAAGCTGATCCACACCACCTCCATCTGCCATTGTTACATCCTCTCAGATATCAAGAAATCCAATCCAAATGGTCATACTCTACGGTTTATCTATGTCATCCTCATGAATCATAAGGGGGTTTCTCTTCTAAACCTAAAGTTCAAACGCTCGAACGTAAAAATGGTCCCATTTGAAACCTAAGGACTCCCCAGACAAAAGCCCCTTGAAAAGGGAAACAACAAACAAAACCTCCCCAATTCTGGTGGACAGGGCTTGTGCTACATGATTGTGTATCTTGCTAACCAAACCAATAGGGCAAAAATCGCTAACATCAACAACGGCTTCCAGTGTCTATGAAAATGACAAAGAAGGTGTTCATCCCTTAATACTGGACCTTCTCATGGAACCCTTCAGAAACCTTCAAAATGCTACCCTCTAACATATCCCAGCAATATTGGGACAAGGCTAGGGTGTGACTAAATGGGCCCAGGGCCTTCTAATTCAACACGCAAAAAGCAATCAACTGTGTTCGACAGAACACAATCAAACTCAATAACATCCCTAGTGGAAGGGGTTGACAGTGTACAACTCCTGGAAGAATTTAAAAATCTCCTTCCACCACATAACAACACATAGAAAGTACATATCTTTATGCTCCTAATGACATGCCTCATTTGTGCGATCTCAGTTTTGTGGAAAGAATTGGCGTCATGCTTTCTCTCAAGCAACCTCACTTCAACATTTGGTGCCAAAAAAACTCATCCTGAATAAAATATTAATATTTCACAGGTACTGACATATAAGCAGGGGCATCTTAGTTGATCTGGAACAAGGGGTATTTTAGTCAATTTGTCCCTCTATTGAGTTGTACATAAACCACATTGGCCACATCACAACTTAGACGAAAAATCATTCCATGTTCTCTGTTTCTTAAATGAAATGACACCAGAGTGTTTGGAAACCCAAATCTAAGTATTCAAACTCTAATATCGAAAAACATTCAACAGTTGAAACTAGACAAGAATGGACTGGACTATTTTCAAAACCAGATGAACCTGAAACACTGCATTCTTCAGCAGTTCAGCATGCAACATCACATTCTGCAGTTGCATGTGCATGGCTCCTGCCACATGTGTCACACTTATGAGTCAATATTGCAGGGAAGTTAGGACCCTAGTGTTAGAATCTTCGAGATTGCTAATGGTTCAATCTCGGCTCCAGTTGAGCTTGCAAAAGAAGGTTATCAAAAGTTCAGGAACATTAATTTTAGGAACTTGAGTGCCTCCTATATGCAAGATTCCTGCAAGTAAGTTTTGAACACAATTCTAATAATTGAAAATGCAGCTCAACAGTTTCCTTGACAATATAATCGACATTCTGCAACTCTAAGGTCTTAAGGGAAAAAAATGAGAAAACCAATGTAGGAAGTCCATATCAGTAACCTACTAACATGTAATTCTAAAACCTTTTCTCAATAGCAAAACCTTGATAGACAGGAGGGACCCCATTGCTGATCATCATATACAGTTTATACATATTTATCTGATGGTAATAACTAGTCAAAAAAATAAAAGAGAAGTACTCACCAAACTAAGGAAATTCAAACATGTTCACCACCGCATTACTCGCTATACTGCAGATTTAATAAGCTTCTTTTTGTTCCTATAAAATAAATGCAGAAAATACCTTCTGGAAGTAGAAATCCTTTGCTCAATGCTGGTCGCTCATATGGTGCAACCTACATTGCATATGGCGAACTCTGATCAGGCATAAAATTAAGTTTGCTCTAATCATGTAACTAACAAATGTGGGGAACGAACAAGCAGTGTGAAAATAAATAATATCAATAAATGAAGCAACATATGAATACAGCAGTAAAGAAGAATCATTCATTTATTTCTTTTATTTCCACTCAAGTCCTTACCCTCACATTATGCTAAAGCATTGCTTACTAACGCAGTACTATCTACTGAACACAGGTTTGTTATATTTTAAAATTCCCCTACTCACATGTATTATTTTTTAAAATAACACCATTCAATTTAAACAACCACTATTTTGTTTCCAAACAACCTGTGTCAGTGTTTTGGTCAAAAATACTCCCTAGCTTTAAGGTTTTCTGGAATAATGTCTATATCAGGGGCTCTTTTCAAGGAAACAATATTAATTAATAGATTAATAGCACATTGATTAAACTTACATTTATTTGCACCATCCCTTTTAGAGGAATAATAAAGAAGAAGGTATTATGTACAATAACTAATTCTTAACTTCACATAGATCATCTATTCCTTCATAGTTATGGGATCTCCCAACCTAAGTGTCCTTCCCACTCTAAGATCGGGCTTTAGCACTCACCGAAAAGGATCTTAATGGGATTGTACTTTAAACATTTTGGGATCTCAATCCCACTTTTAAGGATCGGTCCTAGCTGCTCGAAGGAGGAACAAGAGGCCTAGAAGATGATTCATTTGGATTTTAGTTGTAATCATACTCTTTAAATATTGCTTTTGGAGGTTATAAACGGTAAAATCATAAATAAAGCAGCTTGTTATGTCTTGGAGTAAACCAGATTTTATCAATAAAAAAATCAGCTCCCTTATATTGTTATCACTTATCAGTTATCCCAATGTGCCTCATTATAATATTTTTCTATTGTATTTTGTCGGATTATTGTTACATGTCAAATGAAATATAAAACATTATTTATCAATTAAATAAATATTAATTAATAAATAATTATTTTTAAGGGAAATTTATCAATTCACCATAGGTGTGATTTGATAAATTTCAAAGCCTATAATGATGTGTCATTTGATGGGCTATTTGAGATTTGATCGAAAGAATGATGGGCTATTTGAAATAGATCAAAAAGACATCCTGAGATGTTACACAGTTCCACTCCTAGGGGTGTTTTTATAATTCCTTTTTTAATTGTTGTGTACGAGTTTTTATTACATTCCATGGATTGTTGGATTTTTAATTGATAAAAACTATTCGTATATTAATTAAATAATTGTACTGAATGCACTCCCAACCTAAGGAGCTTCTAGCATGTGATAATCCCTCGTCATCACTCCTAGTCATGCTTCAATAACTATGATTTCCTTAATCCCAAAATTAATTTGATATTGTTTTTAAGTGCGGCACTATCTAATGATAGGGAATATAAAAGCTCCATTTTCAACTAAAACTTCTATCTTTTGTATAGTTTTTACAGCGCCAATATATACATATATATATATATATATATATATATATATATATGGAAAAAGAAGTTATCAGCCCATGGGCTAATGGAATAGTGTAAGCCCAATAATCTGAGCTGATCTGACGATCACGACTGCATTTCGTAATATGATTTTAATATTTTTTATTCAAACCCAAATAACATAAAATTTGGGGTGTCCACTCTTCTCATCAAGGCGCACCTAATGAAAATATTAAAAAATAATTCACAAAAACAAATTGACCAAAATACCCCTGAAACTTTCAGGGATATTT